TCTTCAAGAGATCTGGTTGCCATTCAAGTGCCATGAAATTATACATTTGAAAATCACAAATGGAACAATCCTTTGTGAAGGCATAAATTTTGTGGTGGGGTTCTTTGGTAGGTGTAACAATCCTCCCATTGTCTGATCCTTGACTTAATTCAATAGCAAACACAAAAAAGATAAAAAGCATAAAGTTGAGACAAATAGTTAGGTCAATCCTAAAATTTTGTCCATGACAAAAAACCAAATTAGGAGTTTAAAACTCTCAACCTGAGGATGCTAATGTATCTTAAATAGATGAAAATTTTGGTAACTTTGTCTCATCAATCCCTAAACTTTTCTAAAATCTATTGGCTTTTGGATTTTGACTTTTCTTTTAAAAGAAAAAACTCTAAACACATTTTCTGATCATCTGCTTAGTTCACATGAATCATTTTTTACATTTTTTTTTTTTTGTTTACAAAAACCTCTGTTTTCAAACTCGGACCGGACCGGCCGGTCGAACCGGGAACCGGCCAGGTAGCCGGTTCGAGTCACATTAAAAAACCGGAAATTTCAAAACCCGGTCAAAGCCGGTCAAAAACCGGGTTTGACCGGAAAAAAACCGATTTTTCCGGTTCAACAGTATTTTTTTTTAAAAAAAATTCAAACTTTTTAATATTATGTTTTGACCCCCTAAATTGTTAAAACTTATTGATATACCTCAAATATTTGATACTTTATAAATATTATCCTAAAATTTGATGTTATTTTTCAATTAAATTCATAATTTTAATTCTAAACTTGTTAATATTTATTAAATAATATAAATTGCTACTTGATTGTTCTAATTTCTTTGTATTTTCTTGTTAAATATATTTGAAACATCAAATATATATGGATATACCTTTATTAATATCAATATATTATTAGATATTTTATATATAATATTTTAATTTTTAAATAATTTTTATTTATGACGTCATCCGGTTCGACCCCTATCGACCCCCGGTCGAACCCATTGACCCCTGACCCCTGACCTCGGCCGAGTCGCTATCCGATCCGATTCTGAAAACATAGACAAAAACACCAAAGAGTTGCAATCCAAACAGGAAGCATCAAAAAGTATTCAGAAAAAATACATCAACAAATAGAGAGCCAAACGAAACTAATACTCAACAATAGGGAATATGTTACACCATTGACTTGAGGGTTGATTTCTGGTCTGAGTCAATATGACTTGGAGCTGGCTAAGTCATATACTAACCAACCACAGGCCTTAATTGTTTATGTAGTAATTACTAATTTATTGGTTGTGATCTGTCTAGGTGATTTCGAGATCTGCATGATTAATATTTTTTTTAAAAAAAAAAAGTTGTTTATATTATTAATTTGTTTAGGATAATGCTTTCTTTTTAATAAGATTTGGTTCCTATTGAAGTGATGAAGTATACACTTGAAAATTACAAATGGAACAATGCTTTTTCGAAGACACCAATCTTTTTTTTTCTTTTTTGCTATGGTGGGGTACTTTGGTAGGTGTAACAATCCCTCCATTGTCAAATACTTGAGTTAATTTAATTTTTTTAAAAAAATAAAAAGCATAAAATTCGGACAAACAGGTACTTAATCATAAAATGTACTTCATGACAAAAACCATATTATGACATTAACACTCTCAAACTGAGTATGTTAATTTATCTTAAATAGAACAGAATTCTGGAATTTGATTTTTCGTAAGTCGACCCTAAACTTTTCTGAAAAACAAAGCATCGAAGAGCAAGGAAATACATGATGAACAAAAACAGAGCCAGAGGGACTAATAATCAACAAACACTTTTAATTTATGGGTTAATTTAATTTTGTTCATTCAAAGGGGTTCAAAATCTCAATTTGCTCCGTTAAACCAAAAAAATGTCACCACCAAAGTAGCAAAATGTCACCACCAACCTATTATTATATTGCATATTTAATAAGTACGAAGAAATCAAACTATTAAAGACAAAAACCCAGAATGATTATTTAATCATTCTACTAAAGTTTCCCTATTTTAATTATTTCAATGAAAAAAATTCCATTCTTTTGGTAAGATGGACTAGTGCAGTATTTATCCTTTATAAAACATCTAAGGGCCTATTTGGCAAAGGAGTTTTTGGTCAAGTTTGTCTCTTACAAGTTTTTTAACAATTTTAATTACAATAAACTCAAAAAAATTCTCAAAATTTTTAAATTACACCCTTCAAAATATCCAAAACATACAAAAAATTTTCCATTCCTCCTTTCTTCTTCCACCTCAACCCACCACCACCTTCTCCGCCAACCAAGACCGGCCAGCATCGGTTCCAGTGTCGGCCCCTTTTCTTTTTCCTTTCTTTCTCTTCTCCCTCTCCTCCTCCCCTCCCTTACTTTCCCCCCCTCTCCTCCCCTCTCCCCCGCCACAACTCTCCCCCTCCCTTCCCCGCCACCCTATAGATCACGCCGGGGGGAGGGTAGCCCGGAAGGGGGAAAGGGAGGAGAGGGGGAGAGGGAGGGAGAGGAGAGAGGGAGAGAGAAAATTGCAAAAAAGAAATAATAATTTGTTTCTAGTGCTGCTTGTTCGAGGGGGAAGAGGGGGAGAAGGGAGGAAAGGGGAAGAGGGAGAAGAGGGGGAGAGAGAAAAACGAAAAAAAAAGAGGTGGCGGGGGAGGGAGAGGGGAGAGGGAAGCGAAAAGAAGAAGAGAGGAAAGAAAACAAAAAAGAAAGAAAGAAAAAGAAAACAAAAGTTTTCCATTTTAAAATTTTTTTCTACAATTTCTACAATAAATTACAATAAAATTTTAGACAAACATCCAAAAAAATCATTTATCAAACGGGACCTAATTTTGCTCCACAGAAGAATCAAAAGTAATCAGCAAAAGATTGCAATTTATCATCCCGCAAAACTTCATATTGAATAACTAAAATAACTTGGTTTATTTTCTTTCTTTTGCAGTTAATATCCTTCTACAAACAACCAATTTTTTATTGCTTTAATGAAGGGATAATTTTACAAACCTCCCCAAGGTTTGTGACAATTGCAGGCAATTCTTTTAAATTTTAAAAATTACACCTATTTCTCTATTTTTCACTGTTTAAGTAACATTGTAGATCTAAAAGACTAGATTTTTCTTTAAAATCCTAAACTACCCTTATTGTTATGATTAAAAAAAGAAAAAGAAAAAATGAGAGAGAGAGAGAGAGAAGAATGGTTATCTTTGTCTACTTTATGAATTTATCCTTGCTTGCTATACCTGCTACGTTTTGCTACAAAACCCATCACCCTATGAAACCAATCAGGCAATCACTCGAACTCAATGCCAAAATATCCAAGCAACTCAACAGTTCCAGCGGTTTCTGTGGTTCCAAAATGCCTCTCTATTACCTACAGGCTTTGACTGCAATTAAGCATTGAATCAACTAAAACCGCCATAATGAACACCCAAAAGCTTGCCTACAATATAATACCAACCTTTCATGAACCAGTAACACTTTATCCATCAATACCATGCCCCAAACTCCAACACCATCCCTGCCATCTTCCTAACACATAATAATCCAGGTCACCATCACAAATATTAATACCAAGAGTACCGTCTAGTGTGGTGAAGAATATAATCCACTATACTTCATGACAGTCTAGAAACATAAGTTAAAATCTCTGAAATTCAGTCTTTCTAGGAAAACCATCACCTACAATTACAAATAAAGAAAAGAAATCCAAATGCTATCATTGATATCCGAGAAAATTTTTCCCACAACAAATAAAATAACAAAATTCCTCATTCGATCGCTCTTCCTACTCCCGTCACCCTTTCTTGGGTAATATATAAAAAAACTCCTTGTGATTTATCGAATGTTTAATTTAACTCTCTTTGCTTTGAAAACTTAACTATAACTCCCTGTGATTTCGACTAAATTGAAAATTAAATAGAAAGTATCCAATCTAACAGTACATGAGAGTTACAAGCTTCTGGTGAGAGTTTGACTTGCAATAAATAATATTTAATACCTGCACTTATCGAAAACGCCCCTATATCGAGATTAAAAGCTGAAGAAAGATAGAGGAAGGGTTCTAAATTCTTATCCCGTTATTCTCCAAATACTTCTCCTCTCTCGGATCAAAGCTAAAATAGTAAGGGATTAGGAGTGAAATTGGTGATTTCAGAATCTAACTTGGTATGAGATGTCTTCTAAAATGTCTTCCTTAAGTTATCGAAGCGGCAGTAGAAGTAAGGATTTGAGATATCAGTACAAGTTATATAATTATAAAAGGAACCGAAAGAATGCTAAGGGATTTGAGATATCAGTACAAGTATGAGGATGAACTGGCAAGTGATGTCCTATTTTGCTAGAATCCTCCACTGATTCTTGAAAGAATTTGGGAAATTTTGAATTTAGGGTTTTTTCTTACTTCTCTCTACTTCTCTCCATTCTTCGAATTACAAGTCCAAGAATGAAGAAAAATTCTCCTGATGTATTCATTATACAGGGACAATATAGGTATTTTACATATAACCATTAAATTCAAATTGCATGCTTTCTGTCCAATTCTCAATTTAATTAAAACCACAGGAGTCATACTGTAGGTTTCGAAATCAAAGGGAATAAAATAGAACATTCGGCAAATCATATGGAGTTTTTTGGTATTTTATCATTTTTTGTGTTAATCACTGCCATTATATTCATCTTCTACCTTGTTTGACAAGAAACCACTCACTCATTTTGTGATTTGGGAATTTCAATTTGCTAATATTTGCCAAAAATTGAAAAATAAAAGGGGAAAAAAAAGGAAAGGTTCTAATAATAACAATGAAAAAAAGCAGGGAATAAGGAACAGACACCAGAGAAATGGAAGAGGACGGCTATAGTTGGAGCCATTGGTTGAGATTGGAGAAGAGCGACTAGTTCCTAGTTTGTTTTGTTTGTTTCACTAGGTGGTATCCACCGCGCACCGCGCGGTGGTATATGCCCAGTTAATGTTTAGCTAGTAATGTTGGTGAGAATGAAAATTAGTGAAATGGAGTACAATCAAATGGAACTATAAAATGGAACTATATTATACAGGCATATTAATGAAAATTATACATGAAAATTATAGTAAGATAACCATGATGGCTCAGGGCTCCATGAAGCCATTGTTCTAGTCTTTGAAATACAAAAGTGAAATACAGACAGATTCAGTAACAACTCAAGGCATCAATCGAGCAGTGAATCCAGTCCTGTTCATACAGGAGAAAATAGAGCAGAGCAAGTAATGCCTCCGAAGCAAAGAAAAAACTGCAACAAAAGCAAAGCAAGCAAACGCAAAAATTATGACAAAACGAAAGCAGACAGCTGTATTAATGCACATATAGCCTCACGAAATGTGAAGCTAGGATTGAGGTTTACACAATCGCGGAAATGTGAAGCTACTTTTTCTAGTTGGAGAACAAGAATCATCTACATCCAATCTTGATTGAACTACTGATGTATAACTACTACTTCCCTGTTTACATAATGACATCACATCACGCAGCAAGAAAAGTAAATATTAGAGCACCCTGTGAGACATTTTCAAATCTGAATTACCTTCAAAGGGAATGTCTGTATATACAAGTCAACTTTCTGGTCATCGCCAGATACTCTAGTAATCTGCCTCACAAACTTTGTTTCCACATTATATACAAGCTGCAATTTTGAATCAATAAATGTCATACATCTTGACGTGATGTAGCACAAACTCCCAAAAAATAAAACATAATCAGGTTTTGCTTTAAAGCATAATATGAAACATAAATCAAAGTACCTGAACAACATATTCAAATAAATACAGGGTCCACTGGGTAAGCATGTACCTACCTTCCTTATATCAGGATCATTCCAAGGACTCATATTAGATGAGAGGCATCCTCCTTCAACTGGACAAGAGCATAAGCCACCCAAAAAATTAGGCAATTGACTGAAAAAACATTAAAAAAAAAGTCAGGATGCTATAATTGAAATTCTCACAAACAGGACGACCTAAAAGTAGAAGTAAACCTTGAGTCAATGGCTTCAAGTAGTTTTCCCAAAGACTTAGGCTCCAGAACCTGCAAATTTGGACAATGTGATTTTATCGAATCTGAGCCACAGTAAAGGTAGAGAGAGAGAGAGAGAGAGAGAGAGGCACACAGCCTTGCCTAAATTTTTGCAATAGTTTTAGCATCAAGAAACTTCTGTGCAGCAGGCCAGAGCACCTTCTTAAAACCAGGGCCAGCATTAACAATGAACATCCGATGGAGTGTCTGCAACAATTACAGGGAAAAACCAAAGCCACATTCACCAATAATTGTATCTAACAGAGTAATTATTTATTTCCATAAACTGAATTTGACAGGAGCTACTTAATACCTCAGGATAGTAATTTTTGTTAATTTTTGTCATGGATGCCAAAAAATTAGCAGTTGTCCTTGAAAATTTTTTAACTCCCTGTGTTCAAAAGTTCCCTGCTGTTATTTACAACAGTATCTGATGCAACTGTAAAAAAATGATCTTTAAAAGGAACTGGAAGCATGTACAAGCTAGTCAACAATTTGTAAATTTCTGTCAAAAGCACAGTACACTGATACCATCCTAAAATATTAGTTGCTTCAATGCTGAAAAGCTTTTTCAGCGCATATAGCACAAACAAGTTGGCACCAATCAAAGGAAAAATGTTATTATCTAGTAAGGTATTTTCTAAAGACACGAATCACGAACCACTGCCCCCATGGCAACCAATTTTGCAAAATGACAAACGTACCAGGCCTTGCACATCTAGAATTGTGGTGGCTGAACAGATCCGCCTCTCGTACCAGCTAAACAATAGTTTGTTCCATTGCAGCAAACCTCTCGTATTCACCGCGCACTGGGAAACAAACTATGAACCAAAAGATGAATACATCAATACATTGAAACTGCATATAAGCAAGCTAACAAATCAATTTCAAATCGAGTATTAAATAATCTGCAATAAATGAAAATTTTCTTACTAAAAAATTTAGAGACTACAAAATTACAAGGATCTCATGGTAAAAGAAACATTAAGTAAACAACAGTACATCAAAAGACTAAACATACCAAATTAAGGAGAAAAAGGCTAAACATAGAACAAACTTAAGTAGCGTTAAAGCTGGTGAGAATAATCCAAGCAGCTTCCCTCCTATCACTACCAGCGATCAGCTTAACACAAAATACCTATTAGAAACACCAGATCAGTTTTGGATACTCAAAATACCCAAAAGAAAAAACAAAAAAACATTGCAATCATGGGTTCTGAACCAAGTACAATCCCTGCATGCATAAAAATCTTTCCTTCTTATACAGGATGATGGCACATAAACATTAAGAAATAATATCATTTTCCATTGAATGCCTTCTGCACAGAATATTTGAGACAAATAAATGGAGCAAGAAGTAAAAATCTGGAACCCATACAACAAATTGAACAAAAGGTGAGATGGCAAAAAAAAAAAATCAGAGTTAAGAGATTGGCTAAATAAACACAGTTTTGGCAGGCACTTTTTCCTCACACTAGACATCGTAAGCTCAACAAAAAACTCATTATTGTACTGAAGCAAATTACAGCATAAATACTTTTGGTTCTGCTGCAAAACTCAGACACCCATAAGCCATTTAGTGGTAAGTGTTAACGACACTTGTAAATGCAACTACACCACTCTATGCAAAGTATGCATCCTCTAAATACAGAGTCACAACTATTGCAATGGATAAGTAATGACAAAAGACATCTATTCCAAACACAATTCAAACTGGATCTCCCAGTACCATCTATAACTCATATGCCTAACCATCCGTGTTAAGAAGCCAGTAGTAAAGATAAAAGGCAAAACTAAGAAATAATACCCGTAGTTACTTTGTGGAAACCAAAGAATAGAATATAACTTGAAAGCTGAATCTTAGGTGATCTGCAAAGATAATTGGGGAATAAAGATCACAATCTAAAAAGCTAAATCTATCTCTTCTTGTGAGTTTTTCTTGCGTTTTTCCTCAATCTACCAAACAGAAATCAAAATATGACATAAAAGCAAAATAAGACTATTAGCAGCAGCAAAACTAAATAACTAAACAAGAAATTAAAACCTTTAATCTTCAATAAAAAAGAAAAAAAAAAAAGAGAAGGAAGCAGAAACTTGAAGGTCTAGTTTAGCGTAAAATAAAATTAGAAAAATGGCTGGAAAATAAACTACAGAAAAATTGAAACCTTGAAAAGCTAAATCTTTTTTTCTTCTTCTTGTCGACTTTTCTTCCATTTTTCCCTCAATCTATTAGAAGAAAAACGAGATCCCTATCTATCCAATATATAGTAGAAATGAGATCATTAACAGCAGCAAAACTAAAGCACTAAACAAGAGATCAGAAATCAGAAACTTTTCTTACAAAAATTTGAAGGTACAATCTAGAGTAAAAATGGAAAAAAGATTGAAAAATAAATTAAAGAAAATAGCACAACCTGGAAAGTTGATTCTTTTTCTCCTTCTCATGGACTTTCAATCCATTGTCCTCAATCTATGAGAAGCAAAATGTGATTGTGAGTAACTGCAAGTTCAAGAAAACAAAGAAAGAAACAAAAACTAAACAAAAAAACATCAAAATAAGCAAAAATATCGAACCCATTTCGGAGAAAATATGAAGAAGAGGAAGAGAGGATGAGGGCTTTCTAAATAAAGAAGCAGAGGATGGGCGAGAGATTGAGAAAGGGGAAAGGACGGTTCTGTGAAGCATTGAACCCAACGGAAGTCTCACCAACTCTGAGTCTCTGACAGTATGTCCATCTGTTGCACGTGGAAGGAAACAAATGCAAGGAAAGGAAAGCGTAAAGGCCAAGGGAAACAGCCTGAGGGTGTGGACGAAAAGGGAAAAAGAAGCGGGCAGAAAGCAACACAGCAGTAGCAAAAACAAGCGAAAGGAAAGACGAACGAAGAAGAGAGCAGTGGGAAAATCAGGTGCGACCAAGATAAAATTTGGAGTGGAAACAACACCAATATGTGGCGGAGAAAAAAAGAAAGAAGCAGGTTGGAGTTGGTAGAGAGGAGCCTGAACAGCGGGCAGAGAGGCAGCTGACGACCCCAACCGAACACCTGCAGACAAAAACAGTAGCACTAAACAGGCGGAAGGAAAGACGGGACGAGGAACGAAGGGGAGAAAAAAATCAGGTGCAACAAGCACACTTGCCAACCAATCACTTCGCGCCACGTCACCATCCAGCCAATCCCGCCTCGCCACGCGGAGGACGACCACGTCCGACGTGGATACCGGGCTTCCGCCCTTAGTCTATATGGTTAATGAGTTAACCAAAGGGCATTGATGTCCTTTTATTGCACCAATGAAGGTTCCTAGAACTACGTAAATTTTAAGAAAAACTCAATAAAATTGTTAGAAATGTCAAAGAGATTTTTGAGAATATGCCGTTAGTAAGGAGAATGCGCCGTTAGTAAAAAGGCTCAAACGATCAACTTGGAACAACTTTATGAACAGATGACTAAATTGAGAATTTTTCAATTTAAGAGATCAAATTGGGAGTTTGTGCTACTTTGGAAGATCAAAATGATTTTTTTTTAGTCTGAGGGCCAAATTGACTTGTTTGCTACTTTGGAGGTGAGATTTTTTTTCAATTAAAGGGATCCAAATTGAGATTTTGAATTAGTTTGAAGGACCAAAAATGAAATAAACCTTTAACTACTCAGGGGAGGGACAGGCCAGGTGATTGAGGGAGAAAGTGCAAGTGAGAGATTTCGAATACGAACCCTCTTGCTTACACTTAAAAGAAAATCCCTCAACTACTCAAATTTGAAGGACAATATGAATTGCACATTGCACAACTTCTAGGTATATAAAGCATTGAGTAGTATATAAACGGTCTCATCGAACAGGATAAGAATTTTTATTTTGGAGAAAAAGAAGCATCTCCAGACCGTTAAATCCTCACTAATAAGAGCTTTCAGATTAAAATCGAGATGTTATTGTGCAACCCTTTTGCAAGTAATATATGTAATTTTTCAAATATATAATGTTATACAACTAATCTAACGGATCCAAATTGCTCGTTATCGTAACATTAAACTCCAAATATGTGTGTAATTAATCAGATGGATCCAAATGTTTTTCTATCATGGAACATTTTCTCATCATTCGGTTGATTTGGACAATGAAATGGTGAAATCCATCCTTCATTGCGTGCTATGTGATGTCGCCCTCCAGACTCCAGTCTCCATCCCTAAACTATTGAATTTCACCATAGACATGCCCTTAATTTGTTCAAACAATTAATTCCCTCGGCAAAGACAGCGTGGGAAACTTCACCCCAGACATCAAGGTTTCCTGTTTATCTTGCCCTCTTCTAAGCTTGCTTCTCTTTTTCAAGAATTCAAGCAACAAAAAGAAATTAAGCACCATGCTGATGCTTATCTCCAATCCGCCTTTCCCCATTATCTCTTTCTTATGTTCTTGATTAGAGGACCAAGGTTCAAATGCACAAACAGATGAAACGACTACAAGTATCCCTGTGTAAAACCGAACTCCCAACCAATACTGTCAAATATCTGCTACTATCTTCATCAAGCAGTTTATATTGATCTACGTATCAAAATCATGTCAATAATAGTCATTCTTTACTAATTCGGGCAACCTGATGCAAAGATATATGATCAATGAACTAAAGCTAAAGGTATGCGGTCCAATTTTGTGTTTGTCATCATCAACTGCACAACTTGCTCTTGTACCTCCTGCTGTTGAATAATTGCACCCCTAAATAATGCTTAATTTTCTTTGCATCAAAGTTACTCTCACTACTTTTTGTTTTGGAAGACTCAATTATTTCCCCTTTACATTGATTAGGTCTAACTTGGCTCCATTCGTAAAAGCCACCCATCATAATGAGCACACTACTTAATTATTTCCTCAAAAGATGTTCTTTCACCTTTCAACATTGGAACATATTCCCATTGCAACATATCAAGTATGAGCGTAATGTTTCACAGTTATGCCTGAAAAGTCAGCATATTCGGGTTCTAACACCTTGCATGTTTCAGAAAATTACCATTTTATCATACACTAGATATATCATAAGGGTAGGATGATCAACTGATCATTATTTTAGGAGATTGACTTGACACTTTTCCAAACATAGATCACTAATACAAAGCAAAATTAGCTAGTCTCCAAGCGAGACAAACATCAAACATAACAACTGACACACATACCAATAAATAATAAGGGGGTAAGAAGTATTAATCCACAAATAGCAGTGGTACACTAGGCAAAAGCTTGGGTGGTGGGACGGGGGCTAAGACAGTGATGTATTTCTGCGGTTGCTGAAGATTAATATAAGCATTTTGCTTACACTTGCATACGTTGATGTTTTTCTATCAAGAGTTGGTACAAATCTAAGCTCCCTATTAAGCCTGCACGGTTCCTTGAATCCATTACGCCATGCCTGATCTTACCTGCCCCATCCAATTGGGCGCAGGAATGGTTGTTTAGTGTTTATCCGGTTATTGTGACTTATGATTTTTGGTGTGCAATTACATTATATTGTTGTATCGAATATATGTAAAGTTTTGTTCACTTACATCAACTTTTTCATAAACACAACAGTGTAATGTGACTATACGCTAAACAATGTAGCAATTACAATAATCGTATAGAACCGTATGAAAGCACCACCATAATTGACACCAATTTGTAGCTAAATGGAATATCGAAGAAGTTTGCAGGGTATCGAGAGTCCAGCTTGCAGGTCCAGGCTTAAAAATGAAGCATCCTGCAAAGGAAGGTGCTGTTCTGCAGCAGTCTCTGCTATAATCCCAAACCATGGCTGGTGACGGCATTCGTAGATACCACAAAACGTTTGGACAAAAAGCAGCAGCACCACAAACACAGGCCAAGTTCGCTTTACATAATTCACCAAAGCAAGAGCCCATTTCTTTATCCAGTTACAGGCCTTGACTACCGGGTGATTATCGAAATCTTGATTCGTATATTTGCCAAATGCATCGATGAATTCGGACTTCTGACCTAGCTTTTCCATGGATATCTTCATTGACTTGAATATTTTGACTACATCTTCATCTTTCAATTGCGTTTCTATGACCTTGGCATCCTTCAGCAACTGCACATCGTTTTTTTTTACAATAGCACACATTAGACCCATATGATCTCTAACTTCTGATGATGGTCACCTTGTAAACTCCACATATGATGCTTCAAACGCGACCAAATTTCTCAATATGACTTCTGAAAACTAATTCAGAGTCATGATTGGGAGGTAGACTTTTTTGTTAGTTTTGTCAAAATCAATGTTACCGAAACCACATCCGACTGGAAGGGCATGAATGGTTATGTTAGGAATATCGTGAAGTTCTGAAACAGAATGAACTTCATCGAATACAGTTTCTGGCTTCTTATGATCAGTGAAGCTCACAGCCTTCGCAACACCTTGTGCAGTCTTGTCCAACCATTCTGGGACTTAGAGACCTCCAGCTTTTGCAGCTGCGGTTGTAGAGTTTATTTCCCCAATTGCCTGGATGAAAAACTCTCTGGCTTGCTTCCCAGCGTATATCAGAGATTCCCCTGTCTGCTGCAAGATGTTAGATCCTGTAGATTCAGGGCTTATTTCCCCGATCAATCCTGGGAGTTTATTACCATGTTGTGACATTGCAGCAAGCTTCCTGCCCACAACCAAATTATACATAAAACGCTGCAAATGTTGTGGAGGACCTCAGATCTTTCTCATATGTTCCCTGTCATCGTTGGTCAATTTCACTGGCGAAAATCTGCTAATGGAATTATAAGCAATGTCGAATAGAATGTTCACCACCTTAAAGAACCCCTTTTTCAGGATTACAATGCTGTAACACTGGTAGAATCATAGCGATTGGGATTTGGTTCTCCAGCATCATTAAATCAGGTATCATCAAACTAAATTCCTCCTGCACCTTCTTTGGACTTTCCTGGTAGCTCTCCAGATCTTGGAGGAGCTGAAGCAAGCATATGGAGTCAACAATCACAATCAGCATCAAGGTCTCCTCACAAAAATCAAGGTAGTTGCCATAACATGAGTAGATTCTCTCTTCAAAAGGCCTTTGGAAAACTTTTCAGAAATTTCACAATTTCGACCACTTTGACATTGCGAGCAGCGAGTACTAAACGCTTTAACACCATCGACGACTCAGGTAAGTCGAGACGACAATGATGAATCGGTCCGAAGCCTAAAACTCGAGGAGTATAAGCCTCAGGTTTGGTGTCTTTCAGAATTTGGGAATTTCTGAAATGCTTGGACAACTTGGCATTTCTTCAAGGGGAGTTTTGCAAGTTAGTGCCATGTACTTTCTCCAGTTCTTCTCACTCTCTTTCGAAGGGAAGAATCTACTGGACAACATCTTTGCCATGGTTCTGTACCTTGAAGCAAACTGATCATTGCCAGTCTTGCACTTCTCATAATGATGACGGAAAATGGAAGGATTTCATACGGTCCTGGAAGTCTTTCCTGAAATCTTCTTAATCCAGCCCATATGCATCAATAATGGAGTGCCGATGACAATTTTGTAATCAAAAGTATTTGGATGAACATGATTCAAAGATGGCGGCTTAATAACAAAAAATGATTCACATTGGTCAGTTGCTTTCTTTTGCATTTCATAGATTCCATACTCAATGACTTGGAGCTGGCTAAGTCATATACTAACCAGCCACTGGCCTTAATTGTTTATGTTGTAGTAATTACTAATTTATTGGTTGTGATCTGTCTAGGTGATTTCGAGATCTGCATGATTAATTTTTTTTTAAAAAAAAAAAGTTGTTTATATCATTAGTTTAGGATAATGCTTTCTTTTTAATAAGATTTGGTTCCTATTGAAGTGATGAAGTATACACTTGAAAATTACAAATGGAACAATGCTTTTTCGAAGACACCAATCTTTTTTTTTTCTTTTTTGCTATGGTGGGGTACTTTGGTTGGTGTAACAATCCCTCCATTGTCTGACACCTGAGTTAATTTAATTTTACATGAATAAATAAAAAAGAATAAAATTGAGACAAACAGGTACTTCATGACAAAAACCATATTATGAGATTAACACTCTCAAAGTGAGTATGTTAATTTATCTTAAATAGAAGAGAATTCT